GAATAAAGTCATACTGTAATTTGTTGTGAGTTCATGCACTGTGTTGATTTTGTTCTTTGAGCAAGGTGATGTTAATGCACGGCTCATTTTATACACCAGTAAAAAAAAACATATACCTATGTCTTGAATTTGGAAAAAAAAAATCATATATTTTTTTATCACTAAAAAGGGTCCAGTGAATGCGCATATGAAACTGGTGGGTTCGGTACCTCAAAAACGGTTAAGAACCACTGATTTAGCTAAAGTTTTGCTCACTATAACTTTTAGCTATAGTTTTTTTAGCTTTGTTCGTTTATTACATTTAACTTTTAGCTACTGTTTTGCTAATTTACCATTTAGCTGAAATTTTGCTCACTTTAGCTTTTAGCTATAGGTAATTTTAGCTGCAGTTTTGTAACTGAGAAAAAGTTTTGCCTATTTAAATTTTGAGTTAGTTTTGCCAGTTTTAGCTATTCTGCAGATTTCAACACCTGTTGTGCCTGCTTTAACTTTAATGTTCCAGTTTAATTCAGTCTAACAAAATTCAGTAGTTTTTTCAGAACTCGGTATTTACAATGTGTTTTCACAGAAAATGCAATTTCTCTAATTATCTATCCTTTCTTACAGGTAAGAGAAGGAACAAGGGTTTGTGTTTTTAGAATCAGTGGGAGTTTAGGCACCTTATAGTGAATCTGCAGCTGTTCATTTGACGACTCATTCTGAAGCAGGGAGGCTCTGTTGATGTAGGCCTCGGCCTGAACTGGATCATCATCTTCTAAGTAGAGTCTGGCGATTTTCAGGTATGTATCCAACTTATAGTCGACATTGTACTGCCTATATGATCAGACAGAACAACATTAAAGATGTGACAGTTTTACAGAAAACAAATCCACCACTGGCTTACTTACTTCTGTCCTGTTTCCAGAGGAATGCCAACCAAAACCTGAGCAGCATTTCTCCAGTCTCCCTCTTTTTCATAAATGGTTGCTAAATGCTGTCTGATTGAGGCTACCTGAGGATGAACAGGAACAACTATTTAAACACGTATGAAAATGACTTCAGCTCAACTCAGTGTTAAACAAACAGCGGGTAAAATAAGTATTGAACACGTCACCGTTTTTCTCAGTAAATATATTACTAGAGGTGCTAACGACATGAAATTTTCACCAGATGTTGGTAACAACCCAAGTGATCCATACATACAAAGAAATCAAACCATAAATGTCCAGAAATGAAGTTATTTGTAAT